ATCATTTCTTGTCTTCTTTGAAGTTGATTATCCATATTTGAATCAAAAAAGTAAATCTGAGCAAATAAAGGTTTTTCGTCAATATATCTTGGCATTAGACCACCAATCTGATGATATAATGCTCCTTGAATCCTAAATGTGTAAACTCCTTTTTTAGCATTTGCAAGCTCCTTGTCAAGGTTTACACCTAAAGATGTGAATGCAAGAACCTGATTGTATGCTCTGATATAAGTTACAAAAGGTTCATCTGAATCTGGATTATTTTGTGTAAGCAAATTGTATAAAGATTGTGGAGCTGGAGAAAGGGATGCTAAAACAATTTGACCATTAAGACAACAAAATCCTTTAACTTCATTTTTCCATTTCAATGCATAACAGTATTCACATATTTGTTCCATTCTTTCAAATGTGTGTCTACTGTTTTCTACTCTATCTTCAGTATATTCATCTATATTGCAATGTCCTAATTTTAAGAATTGTTTTTTTATTTGTTCTTGTTTTGCAATATATTGATTTTTTTTGATAATTCTATTTTGTTCTTTTATTTTATTTCGTTGTTCAATTGTTAAAGTTTGTAAGGATTTTTGTTTTCTTAATCTTGCACTCTCTGTTGTTTTAGACCTTGTTTTAGCTGAAGGTGGAACATTATCCTCTGTTTGTGATCTTGTTCTTTTTGATGGTCCAGCTTCAACTATAGCTTGTCGATTAAGAAATCTCTTTCTAGCTTGTCTTTTGTTATCAATTCTTTTTTTTCTTTCCTCTGTAGTTTCATTTTCTGGTTCTATGTATGCTGCATCAATTTCTTCTAATGATGTGTATTTTGATTTTGGCATTTTGTTTAAAATTTTAAATGTTAGGTAAAAGTAAATATAAAAAAATTGTAAAATTGTTTATTAAGAAAGAAACTGAAACGATTTTAATAATTTTTTTGTATTTTTTTAATTTATTTTTGATTTGTAATGCATAATTTGTAACATATTACAAAAAAAAAAATAATAATAATAATTACACATGCTTGCATATGTGCATGCATGATATGCATGCACAAAGAATGTAATTTATTTTGTATTGTTTTTATTTTTAAATTAACTAAAAATAGAAATATTTTTAATTATCCTTAATTAAATGTAAAATAGCAAAGTCTCGGAGGCCATTATCTCGATATCCACCGATCAGAAAATCGTGATTATTGCACCATCGTGTTCGCCGAGCTGCGCACTTCACAATGATATGTGTTGCATCTTTAACGGATCACTGGATGCTGAGATATTTAAGAAAACGTGTTAAAAACATTCATTTTTCGGCTTTATAAGCAGGCGAAATTCCGGGATTTTATTTTACCACCAACGTGGGTCACACAAAGGCTATATACGTGATCAATATGACCAAAAAAGGAAATTTTGGACTGTCGAAAAATGGCGAGGATCACCCAAAGTGGTGACACAAAACTCCCAAAAAGGAAATTCGTGTAACCAAAGTCACGTGAAACACGACGCATGATTTATTAGTGACCTCAACTGGCGTAATATATATATAGGACTAGCGGTTCAACCCGGGCGATGCCCCGGGGTTCGCCAACGCGACGCATCAAAGACGTTAAAAAAATATTAAAAATAATTTTTAAAAAGATTCAACTAAAATTTTTGAAATTGTTTAAGTTTAATTTTATAAATAATTTAATAAACGGTAACTAAAAATTTTTGAAATCGTTTAAGTTTAATTTTATACGTAATTTAATAAACGGTAATTAAAAATTTTTGAAATCGTTTAAGTTTAATTTTATACGTAATTTAATAAACGGTAACTAAAAATTTTTGAAATCGTTTA